GTCTTCCTCCACCAGCCTTTCAAGTTTTGGTGTTTCTGGGCTCCATATTTAGCTATTTTCCCTTTTTACTCAAATTATCTTCTTAGCCAATGATATCATGCCTAAAGATTTCAGCTTTCTCTCTCTCTCTCTCACACACACACACACACACACACACACACACACACACACACTATTAATTCTCAAATCTGTGTTTCTACCTCAGGTCTCTCTCCTGAAGAAATAGCCCTTTACATCCAACTGTTGATGAGACCTCTCTACTAAATATCCCACAGCACCCCCCCTCAGCAAACTTACTTCCCACCCGGCCCTCATTATCTGCAAGAAGTGGCCACCTTCTGTTACTTGATAACTAACTTTCCTCTATCTGCTAGCCTAAGAAAAACTTTCTTTGAACACTCCTACACTTTTTATATCTTTCCCTTATTTTTTCCCCTTAACAATTTTATTTCTGGATTAAATAGGCAGTTTTTATTTGGTCTTTATTTGCTCACTATTCAGTCACTTCTTAATCTCCGACATTCTAATTACTTGTTCCTTTAGCAAAACTGCCCTCTCTGTAGCATTGATGTTGTCTATCATTTTATAGTATTTTTATCCTATTTTGAGTGATTATAAATTTTTGTACTAACCTGATTTGCCTTATACTACTCTGTCTGCTCAGTCTCTATTTACACTGATACTCCCTAGACATGCACTGCCACCTAAATAATGGAATTTTCCAAGCCCGTGGATAAAGGGAGAGGGAGAGAGGGAAGGAATAAGACGGAGGGGTGGATGGAGGTGGGGTGAGAAAGAGACAGGAGACTCATCCAGGGACAAATAACTACCCAGGGTTCAATAATTCAACTTATTCTGATAACACCCTCTCCCAGCATGCAGGTAAATTTTTCAAATAACTATACATAGAAATGAAGAAGTTATAACTGAGAAATACTGAGCACATGTTTATGTGTTCACAAAACCTACTCTGCCTCTTGAGCTCCCTCTTGCTTTTCTTCTCAATCATCAAGAAATAAAACTGGAATTGTTTTTTAATTCCCTTTAGTCAGTAACTTCCAATAAAATGTTGTTATATAACCTCCCCCGCTGAGCAGTTTCTCACATCAGTTCCACACTTCCTTTCCTTTGCTATTGTGACAACACTATTAAACATCCTCATGAGCTTGCAGACTCCTGTAATCACCTTCTTTAATTTCCCTCTGCCTTTCATCTCTCTCTGCTTGAATCAATCCTAAATATTACTCGTGTCATGTCATTCAGCCTGCTCAGATTTCATCTTCTCTATGCTGTCTTTAGAAGTAACTATAAAATGCCACTGTCTAAGCATTAAAATCCTATGCCAATTGGCCCCAGTTTTATCTTCTGATGTTCCCCCAACCAACCCGACTAATGTCCGCAAACCTATCCCGTATGTGCCTGCCTCTGTGTTTTTTGAACTAAGTATTTTCCTTACCTATAATAATGTGTAACTTCTCATTCCCTCATATAGAATGTTATCAAGCCTCCACATGGAGATTTGGGAATAAATATTTCAATATTCTTATTATCCTACTATCCACGATTTCCTTTCATGACACATGCAGATTTTTTTTCCAAAATGCATTTTCAATCATATTGCTACTTAGATAATTACATGAGAAAAATTTTCAGTATCATGTACGAAGATGAATTACACATAGTTCCACCTCTACCAATGACAATCAGCTTGTCTGGACTCTCACACAGGTAATGATGATAAACTAGTAATTTCTTAAAAAATTATTTAAAAAAAAATGGAGATCAGTTCAGAGCAAAGACTAGAGAGTTTTTCACTCAAGGAAATCCCCTAACCCATATGGTGAGGAATGGCTAGAACTCAAGCAGAAAACTACAGACTTACTAGCTTGGAAAGTCAGAGAACAGAGACTTAAAAGTACCAGGGCAGCTGAAATGCAAGAGGAGATACCCAGAAACGGAGGGGGGCACCCTCAACTGCATGTATACATTCTTTCCCAAATCCTTGGCTGACACCTGACTGCATGTGCAAGCAGAGCATAAAAAGCACTGTCTGGAAAGTTGAAAGAGGTTTTTGGCTGCCGCCCATCACAAGAGATTTTTGAGTCCAGACAAGTAAGCTGCTTGCTAGAATAAAAATCAACTCTCTTTAAAAGATAATCAAGTCCACAGTCTTGAAAACATATGATCCATAATGTCTGGTACACAATAAAAATTACTAGACATGCGAAGAAATAAGAAAATATGATCTATAGTCAAGAGGGAAAAGCAATCGTGTAAACTTACCTTAAGTTGACCCAGATGTTAGAACTAGCAAATAGGGATTTTAAAACAGCTCTTAAAAATATGTTCAAGGGCTTAAAGAAAAATATAGTCACGATGAATTAAAAATATGGGGACCTGCTCATTAAAGAAATGAAATATAAATAAGATGGAAGTTTCAGCCCTGCAAAGTACATTATCTATATTGACCATTACTGGAGTGGGCTTAACAGCATACTAGAGATGTCAGAGGAAAGGATTAATAAACTTGAAAATAAATGGATAGAACTTATCCCATTTGAAAAGCAGAGAAAACAAAGACTGAATAAAAATGAGCAAAATCTCAGTGATTTGTGGCATAATGCCATACACACACTAGCTCACGCATATGCACATGTGCACACACCAACTCTCAAAGAGAGGAGAGCATGAAACAATATTATCCGAAATAATAATGGCCAAAAATTTGCCAAATTTGATGCAAAACATAAGCTTTTATATCTAAAAGTCTCAGTATTTCAAGAAATACTCCCACCCAATCATTCTCCCACCACCACCACCACACACAACTGGCACACTATGGAAAAAATGCTGAAAGCAAACATGAAGAGAAAATCTTGAAAGATAAAGTGATTCCAAACAGGGTAATATCAATATGTAAGAAACCTGAATATACGTCAGAAAGTGATTAGAAGACAATAAAGTATTTTTGAAATGCTGAAAGAAAACAAAAACAAAAACAAAACCTGTGAACCCCAAATTTTATATCCAGGGACAATACCCTCAGAAATAAAAATGAAATCAAGGCATTTTCAGATAAATGAAAACTGAGAGGATCTGTTGCCAATAGATCTGCACCACAAAATGTATATATCCTGGCTTCCCATATAGGTATACATGTCTGTCTGTATACTTTGCTACATGTAAATATTCTGACCTTGCTCTGGGCTGATTTGCCTTACACATCTTTTTTTTTAATTTTTTATTGTTATGTTAATCACCATATATTACATAATTTGTTTTGGTGTAGTGTTCCATGATTCATTGTTTGTTTATAACACCCAGTGCTCCATGCAGAATGTGCCCTCCTCAATACCCATCACCAGGCTAACCCATCCCCCCACCCTCCTCCCCTCCAGAAACCTCAGTTTGTTTTTCAGAGTCCATCATCTCTCCTGGTTCGTCTCCCCCTCTGACTTACTCCCCTTCATTCTTCCTCTCCTGCTATCTTCTTCTTTTTCTTTTTTCTTAAAATATGTTGCGTTATTTGTTTCAGAAGTACAGATCTGTGATTCAACAGTCTTACACAATTCACAGCGCTCACCATAGCACATACCCTCCCCAATGTCCATCACCCAGCCACCCCATCCCTCCCACCCCCGACCACTCCACATCTCTTTTTAAAGTTCTTCCAGTAGATCAACTGTATTGATCCTTTAAAATAATTCAGTGAGTACACTCGATGTGTCTGTGTATGCTCCTTAGCTTTAATCTACAAGTGGAGGTGGTTAGTTAACATTTAAAATATGCTAATCAAAAATCCTGCCTATAAGGACACTTAGCAGCTGAAGTACCTCAATCAGGGGCGCTCTCAAGAGACGGCTAAACTAAGCCCTTCAGATATTACTAATTATATGCACACCTGAGTGTTAACTAGTATAAGGGATATCAAACATGATTTTTCACCAGTGAAATGAATGTTATTCTTTATATGTGGTGGCTGAAAATATTTTAGGGTCACTGCTGCGCTTTCATAAACAGAGTATAAGAATCAAGAGACTGTAGCTGTTTCACTACAGAATATCTAGAGGTCTGTTTTTTTTTTTTTAAGATTTTATTTATTTGAGAGTGCGAGAGAGAGCACAGGATGGGGCAGGGGAGGGGGGGTCAGAGGGAGAAGCAGACTCGAGTGGAGCAGGGAGCCTGATGTGGGGCTGGATCCCAGGACCCTGAGATCAAGACCTGAGCCGAAGGCAGACGCTTAACCGACTGAGCCACCCAAGCACCCCTAGATGTTTGTTTCATCTGAATCCCATCTTCCTGTAGGATTCTGCCTTCTGACATAAAAAAAGGTAGCAGATAATATTTTTTTAATTGATCTTCAAGCCTGCATTTTAGCCAGTGTTTTATGTGTGACAGAATCCAGTTGAGATTTGCTCTCTTCTCTTCTCTTCGAGATCTGTTTTCTTTATGCTGATCACCTAGTAGTGGGGTCTAGGACATATAGCTCTCACCTACTAATATTTAACTTCAGTCAGTTTGTTATCCACTCCACCCCCCAACTCCAGCTCCCTCACCTCACCTGTCTAAAAAAAGAATAGTTACAAAATCAATAAGTCTTTGCATAACCTCTGTAAAATACTATATGTAGTAATATTGCTTATATAAATTTATTTCTAAATATATATGTACATTGTAGTTCAGTGGTTACATTAATAAAATTTATGTAAGAACACAAGAGAGAACATAGTTTGATATGAAGAAGTATTTTTAAGTGCACAATTAAGTGAATGAAGCTGTTCAGAGAATGAATACATAAAGAATTGAATGATTCAGAGGTTTTATAGCTGACAAGGATTTTAAAGGTCCGGAGAAATCATTTCTCTGACTTGGGAAAACTTCATCAGTGTATCACAAATGCTCTTCTTTTTCACCAAAGAAAACGCCACAACCTTTCTTTAAAAAAAAAAAAAAAGTTCTTTTAAGCATGACTTTTATTGACAGGAATGAAATTATCTTACTTCCAAATGGTATCCAACCCTGATGAAGGCACAAAGTGGGTCAAAAGCTCCAGTACCACAGGTCAGAAGGTGCGTCCTATTATAGTGATGCAAAACGCGAACATAATTTGCACATTCACTCTAAAGCAGAAAAACAGAAAGAAGAAATTTGTTAATGTATAAAAAAAAAAAAGTTTAGCCCTTTTTTTGATTTCTGTTTTCCCTAACCCCACAAATCTCATGTTCAAGTCTCCCTTGGCTAGAGGAGGCAAGAAATAGTGGAAGAATAGACTGGTTGACCGATGCACATTTTAGCCTCACCACATGAATTACACTTATAATGGGATTGTATCATTTTTCAGGTATTCTAGCACGTTATAACCGGGGAGTAAAAAAAAGTACTGTTCAGAAATTTATTCAAACAAAGATTTGCATAGCGATATGCATGTTCCACTAACTAAGTTATTTCCAATGCTGTTATTTTTTTTCAAGTGCTTATAAACAAATGAATCATACAAAGTCAGAAAACCAATAATTAGAGAAAGCTTCGCTACCCTTAAAGAAACATCTGTAGACTTTAAGGCATTACAGAGTTTTGATGTTTGGAAAAATAAGTCCTATCTTCAAATCCATAAATTCATGCAAAGCACTTTCAAAGGGAATTTTCAAATAAATTCATAGAAAGCTAACCAAGAGAAATAACATTTTACATCTATTACTGTAAGACTGCTGTGTAGGAATCAGCAAAATTTTTTTTTGTGAAGGACCAGGGAGTAATATATTTAGTTCGAACGGCCAACTGGTCTCTGTCTCAACAACTGACCTCTGTGAATATGGCATGAAAGCAGTCACAGACAATCCAAAAATGAATGTGTGCAGCTAGCTTCCAATAAAACTTTATTTACAAAAACAGATGGCAGGCCACATTTGGCTGAGGAGCTCTAGTTTGCCTACATTGGGATTCAACTAGAACTTTTTTGAGGACAAAATATTTATTTTACACTTCTTCGTATTCCCTGGTTAATTAAACACAGTCCCAAATATATATTATATGCTTAACAAATCTTACTATATAAATCACTAGGTGAGTTTTATGATCAATATGCTAAATGAAAAATGTTTAAAACTGCTCAAACCAACTTGTCTGAATTAATTCTAGAAAACACCTTCCTGGTAAATTAGGTATTGCTGTTTCATTTAAAATAAATTACAAAATACTAAACTCTTTTAATGCTAAGTGTTACTCTGAAATCAATACATGCAGTAGGCAGTAAATACAATGTTTTATAAGGGCAGATTATGACTTTTAAAATCTCTCACAGAGCAGTATTGGGTGAAAAAGCCACCAGAACCGTCTGACCAGAAATGATTCAGATTATAGCATTCCCTTGCTCAGAATGAGCAATGTACTACTAACCTGATTATCCAGAGCACGTAGATAGATTTTCTTCAATTTCCCACTCACGTAGCATTTATTCTCAGGCTGACCCATACCACTGGAAAAATCTGATCATTCAGGCATGGGGAAAATATTCTATTCTCCTATCACTATAAGCACCTGCTTTCCATCTCATGAAACACTGTCACACCTAGAATGAGCAGATTAGACTACAATTTGGCTCTGTTGGGCTTAGGTTGACATAGCCTAAGCCTGTGTTTGATTAGTCAGCATCATGCTGTGGACTAAGGCAGCAAGATTCACTCCTTGGCTGTGACCCAGTTGCTACAGAGACTCAGAACTTGGTATAACGTGTGTTAGTCTTTTACATGGTATTTTTTTCCTCACTAAAAAAAGAAAAAAAAAAAAGGATGAGTTAACTTTCAAAAGGAGATGTGCATGCCTTCCTCCAAAGCTGTGTCTTGTGTCACCAGAGCGACTCCTAGCACATAAAAGTCCCTTTGTGCATATTTTAGTGGGCTCGGAAATGGGTCAGAGCTGCCACTCCTATACAACCTCATGCACCGCGGGGAAGTTACGGAGACCGAAGATCGATTCTTCCAGAAGGAAAGACCCTAAACACATGGTGGGATAGGTAAAGCATGCTTATTGCCTTTGCCTTCTCCTTTCTGTTTTTTTTCTCCTTTTGTTTCTTCATTTGGTTCTACTTTACTAATCACAGAAAAATGAAATCTCACAAAGAATACACTTAGCTTTCCCTTGAATTAAAAATTTACCTGAAATTATTTTTTTAAATATGTAGGAAATAAGCATTAGTGGAAGAAATTCATAAATCTGAGTTGATAAATATGTAATAAAACCAAAACCAAGATCTAGAGGCACCTCAGCTCCCTTTACTCTAACTTCATATTGAAATCAACTTATAAATAATGATCTCTATACAATGTTTATTTCTGTTTGGATATGTGTACATATATTTTTTTCTTCCTGCATGAACTGTATATATGCCTTTGGGAGCAAATAAGAGGTTAGGGAGTCAGTCCCCTGTGACTGACCAGGGATAGAATTGATGATGTGTTTAATTTACAATGAGTAATACTTACCTCATCTTTTCCTTTCATTATGCATTCTTCTATTTTTAGTGCTGTACTAGGCCAGTGTATCTGAAATAAAAGATAATGTACTATTATGCAAATGCAAATACAAAAATAAACCACACTGAAAAACCATTTTGCTGTGTTCCCAACACGTTTTCATTTTGTTCCATTTCCTGAGAAGATAAATCGAGACTTTATCTTCTTTATATCATTATCTGCCTAATGAAGACACTTACATCTGAGCTTTTATTTCATGCAAAAACTTAGTTTTTTTAAAAAAAATCTTTCTGAACGCTCCCTCAAGACTCAGCCCTTCAGAGGTCACCCACGCTTCCAGCAGCCATGCTCTGTGCTTAACCTGCCGTAACCTCCACCATCCAGGCCTTCCCCTGAACCTGACCATCTTCCCAAGTCAGGCACCTCCCTGAGTTTCCTTTGCATTTTTACCACTTAGCCCAGAGTTTGGTGTGTGGGGACTCAGTTATGCTGGCTAAATGAGGGATTAAAGGATGTATGACTCCTATGTCCTGGAGGGACACCCAGACTGCCTCCAGATCTCCACCATATCAAACACGGTCCATCTCTGTACCTGTCCCTCCGAGATCAGTAAAAGAGCATTATTGGTATGCATAATCAGTGGAGTGGGGTTGGTGTACATATAACCCAGGAGTAGAATTACTGGGTCTTAGGGTAAGTATATATTGAATCTGTTAACACAGTGCCAGAGTGCTCTCCAGAACGGCCACCCGTTCATACTCCACCAGCAATATCCCCATATCTTCACTGATACTTGAATTAATCGGCTTTCTAATTTTTGTACTAAGCACCTCAGATTCAATACTCAATTAAACCCTTACCACAACTTTATCAAAGATATATTATTATCTAGGGAGCTCCTTTTAAAAACGAAACAAAACAAAATGTACATTTCTATGTCCAGCCCCAAAACGTGGTACATCAATGTAATCCATTTGAGCAAGTACAGCTAGTGTTAAGTTGCCCAAGACCTTAAGCCTCCATGTTAATAGTTTATCCCCACAACTGGCGGGTCAATTACCCTCTCCCATCAGGCTGAAAAAGCCTAACTGGCCCCCTTTCTTGTGTCTCTCTCAGAATCCTGGAGCGCATCATCTCATGTTATTGTGTCATCTTCCTGGTTTCCTACTGGTTGGGTGATAACAGACTGTTTGGAGGAATATTGGCTCTGACCAGAACACCCTGTAACTTTTTTTCATTGCTTTCACAAAGGATTTCACCTTAGATCCATATGCACTAGGGTACAGAACTCCTAAGATGTCGTCTCTTCCTCTCCTGCCTCCATGACACTTTGAGCCAGGCTACATCAATATTTCTTTGGTTCTCTTCTTTTTAGGCAATCACCTTCTGTTCTCAAGCTAACATTTTGGTGAAGGAGTAGGGGGGGCCTCTCAAGAGATTAATATTTCTACAAATAAACTTTTCCTCCTCAGGACGCTCCAAAGTCCCCAGGGAAAGGGTCTAGGTATAGCCTTCTACTACCCAGGGTCAGTGTTTACCGTCATTAGACTATTATTGTTCAGGCTTGGGTTAGTCAGCCAGACTCTTTTCCTATCCATGGCAGTCTGTCCCCTTAAGGCCCCTATTATCTCTCCCTGACTTCTCCCCTTCTTCTACCCGCCACCATCCCCTTCTGTGCTCTGCTAGCCTGAGAAACCATTCTGGGTATCAAACTAAATATTAGATATTGCTGATAAGAAGGTTTTTTTTTTTTATTTAGTGAGCATGCTCTTTCTTTTAATTAGTGGCCAACATTTACAAATGAGAAATTTTGCATAAAAATCAAGACTTCTGGTTTCTCTAAATGGCCCAGGCACACTTTGATTTGCTTCAGACTTTTCTTTTACCTGACTGACCTCTGCAGTCATTTTAGTTTTTGAAAACTGATATATTTATGTTTGAATCCCAAATATGGTCACGATTTAAACTTTTCTTTTTAAAAGCTGTGCCCCATAAAATAACATGCTAGGTATTTATATGCCAGAACTGAAAAAGGCTTATCACTAACCCACACATTATGTAGCCAAATCCAGTCCCTGATACATAAATAATATTGGGAATGCATAAAAGTGGTGTCAAAGGCATTTTACTATGAAGATTTTTACATAAGTACATGTATTATCATAGGAGTAAGCACTCTATGGTTTGAATTACAGGTATAAAATATTACTTTGATGTTCTTATTAGTGTAATGGGCCCCCAAAAGTTTCTTACTTACAATATTCAACATCAGGTGTTCAAGCATCAGTACATAAACTTAAAAAATAGTCATGTGTTTTCATTTACGTTGCAACACAGAAAAAAGACAATGTAAGGAAAAATGTAAGAAAACCAACTAAAAAGGCAAAAGCACACACATAAAATCCCAGAATCAATGTTCATGACGGCAGTAGTGAATCCAGCAGTGGATCATATGCGAGTCAGGAAAGACATCACATATCACATCAATGTCAGGTTCAGATGCAGCCCTGCATCAGCTTCAGCAGAGTCGCTACTACCATTAGAGGGTAAGCATCCTAGAAGTGAGGCTGTAGAATTTATAAACTTCACAGATCCATTATTTTGGAAAAGATTTTTGCATGTGGGGTGAGATTTTTTTTCAGGTGATTTCTAAGACTCATTTTCACTTGAGATTCAATTTGTTTTTGGAATTATGATTTTACTGTGGATGCATAAATTATTCAAAAGGATATGCTAGAACATGTGCATATGTATAGACATGTATATGGACTGTATATACACATAGCATATATTACATATACACAAGTAAATATAAATACAAACGTATTTTAGGATCATCTATCACTGGAAAGATTTTCATGACGAATTCAGTTATCAGCATCGATAAATCAGAGAATATCTCACTTGTAATTTCCAATCTTGCTTTATATTCTTAACACAATTTAGGAGATACAGGGCTCTTCTTCTTAAACTGTATTTTCACAATTTCAAAGTAAAACTCAACCAATTCTTTAGAAAAATATACCAGGTTCAGCTTCTCAACATTGAAATAATATCCAGACCAGTAAAACCACCGCAACATACTATATCCTGTATTCCCCTGACTGCTTCATAACAATTATTTCTAGGAATATTTGAATACCTTGTTTAGGGAGCAATTCTCTACAGAATTTCTATACATCTTCTGACAGATTCTGTTCCCCATTATCTTCTCAAACAGGCTTCAAAGTAGAGATGGAACTCCCCTCCAGGGGAAATGAAAGACTAGTTTCCTGACCAGGATAATTAAGTGAATGTTTCCCTCTAGACAGAGGCTGAAAAGTTTGCTAACACACCTACTAAAATTTTCCTGTTTGCTAAGCTTGAGGTTCATCAGGCATAACACACACTCACTGTGTGTGCAGCATCTACCTGGGATGCTATGTACCACCCCCTGTGGGACTTATGGGGGCAAAGCAATTGCTGGAAACATGACGGCCATGCTATATGCTATGATGTGGCTAGTAGAGTCCTTTGTCTCTGAACCATGAGTCTCATGTCTTCTGGCAGCATCTAGGAAACAGTGACATGCTAACTTGCTATCTTACAAGTGAGGTAAAATCTCAGACCCTTTACAGTTTTGACGCCAACACAAGATAATCTATTTTGTGATAGTGAATACGATAAATGGCTTTTCTAAGGATTGTCAGAATCTGTAATGTTTTTAGCAGCAAATGTAATAATGTCAATTGTTCTTGGAAAGAAAAACTCATTCTCTCAGGCACATCTTACAGTGTTTCACGACAAAACCTTTCCTGGTATCTTTTTAAATATTTCTCCCTCCTTTGATCCTCTATGTTGTTCTTCTTACTGTCTCTACTTAGGATTATATTATGATTTGTGTACTTAACTTCAGCTTTCCTATTAATCTGTAAGTTAGAGAGAGCAAGGCAATGTCTTATTTCTGTATCCCTACCAATGCACAATCCCAACGCGGAGTAACACCTTAGTGTGGTTACTGCTTATTCAGTGTCTATTGATTGACTTGTATCAATCAATACACCTTTACCACATTCTTTGTAAAGTCCATCCACAGTAAAATTTGAGAGATAAGCTTCACTGATGTGAAACTGCTGTAAATAGTGGCAAAGGAACAAGACAAGTAACAATATTCAGTTTAATCAGGGAGAAATTCTGTAGGATGTTAACAAAAATCTAGGCTTTGAAAGACTGGTGGGATTTCTGAAGACAGACAGAAGGTCTCAACCAGATCACTTTGAAAGGATAGGAGAGATGCAGAAGATTAAATTATGAACACTTACTACCCTAAAGTCTTAATACGCAGCAGCTCTCCAAAGAACCATGTCATTATAGATTTACTCAAGTTTTGTTGTTTTCATTTGGTTTTTTAACAACACTTAACAGGCTCAGGATGGCACTCAAATGTTCATTCATGTGAAAAAAAAGATGAAAGAGCAAGACCTCATGAAAATGGAGTTATTTTAAAGCCATCATGTACAACTATCCTGCCAAGATAGCAAGGGAAATTATTTTCTTCATTTGTTGTGGAAGTCAGGATGTATTCTGGTTCTGCTCCAGAGTTTAGCATCAACAAAAACCCATCAAATTAAGCTATTTGTTCTGTACAAAATATTTTTAAAAGGCAGTTAAACAACAGGGTGTAACGCTATTTCCAAATTTTCTGTTCCAAAAAGATATAAAAAGCAAAAGGTTAAATACACATCATTTCATCATAATACTCCTGTAATACAATTTAATTGTTCCAAAGCACATTTCCAGGCAATTTACTATTCTTGCATACCTCAAAGGAGAAATATAAAATAAAATAAAAATTAAATTACAAAGCCATTTTTTCTGGACTCCCTAGTGAGTCTCATAATTATGCTATGATTAAGGATTTGACAACTTACTGTTACAAGATGTTATAACACTGAGAGATTTAGGGAAGCGAAAACAAATCCAAGAAGAAGAAATAATTTAACTGTCTAAAAAAAGATTTCCACTTATAAATAAATAAATAATCAATCCAGTAAATCTCTCTTCATGGAATATATTTAACTACCTTAGAC